CCGGTTGTCCAGACACAGGCCTGACTCGGCTCTGCCCACGACCCTGGCCAGGGGCCATCACAGCCTCCGCTGCCCGGTCTGTTCCTGGGACCAGTCAAGCCTCGGGGACTACCTGAGGCCCCAGACCTAAGGGCTTGCTACCCAGACCTTGAGAGAAAGCTGGGGACCGCACTAATCCTAGCACACGAACTCCCACCTCTCCTCCCAGTGGAGGAGCTGGACATCCAGTTCCTCCACAGGGCTTCAGACACTCCAGTCCTGGCAGGTGGCCTTCCCGTCCCCAGCTCTTCAAACTCCCATTTTGAGCTCCCCTGACCCACTACTGTGAGTGGGTTTCTTTTGAATTCTCTGAGCCATGAGATTTTGTTGTGGGGTGTGGCTGGACAGGAGGGCCTGTAGTACGCCAACTGTCTCCACGTGACCCATATCCAGTGGGGCTTTGTCCAGGGATGCCCAACAGCTGAAGCTCACACAGGGCAGCCAGATCTGTGTCCTTGCTGCTCTGAGCCCACTTGTTCAGTTAGCTACCGAGATAGGACTATCAAAATCTTGCTCAGTGCTCACTTTGGCAGCACATATACTAAAACCAGAACAATACAGAGAAGATCAGCACGGCCCCTTGGCCCCTTGTGTAAGGAAGACACTCAAATCATGAAGTGTTCCTTTCTTTTCTTTTTTTTTTTAAGACAGAATTGCTAAGGGCTGGGGTTGTAGCTCAGTGGTACAGTGTTTGCCTGGCACGGGTGAGGCACTGGGTTCCATCCTCAACACCACATAAAAATAAATAAAAATAAAACAAAGGCATTGTGTACATCTACAACTAGAGAGAGAGAGAGAGAGAATTGCTAGACCAATGGCACCTAGAGATGACACTAGAAAATCTCTTCCACGACAGGATGGAGCCCAGTGAGAACCTGGCCACAGGTGTGATGCCCTAAAGTCAATCAATGCACGACTTCCTGACACCTGTGCCCAGGCTCCAGCAGGGGAGCCGGCTTCCTAACTGTGTCTCCTGGTGAGCACATCTGCCAGCCCACAGGCACTGCAAGCCACCTGGGGAACCGCTGGCCCACTTAGTTCTGCAAGCCACCAGGTCATCATCACACTCACATGGCACTGACAGGACTCAGCCATCTACAAACAAGCTTCACACAAAAAATTCTATTTCTGTACTTAAGAAAACTGTTAAAGTCGGGCTGGGAGAATGAGAAGACGATGAATATCTCAGAAATAATTAGCAGAAAATATTTAACTAAAAATTTAAATTTATATTTGAACAGCATGGATTAGAACTATTAATTGATTTGCACATTAAATTTTCTTTATTTAGGGCTGGGGCTGTGGCTCAGTGGTACAGCACTTGCCTAGCATGTGTGAGGCACTGGGTTCGATTCTCAGAACCACATATAAACAAGTAAATATATAAACATCCATTAATAACTAATAAAATATATTTTTTAATTTCTCTATTTAAAATACCAAAAAAAAAAATTCTCGCTCAGATGGTGGGCTTATGAATTTCTCCTTGCAACTCCATCAGTTTGGTTGTAGCACACAACTTCTGGGAGTGACTGTGGGTTGCCTGCTCCCTGGCGATTTGGGTCTGTTGTCACTCAGTACATTTATCTTTGAACTCAGTGCTTCATCTTTGTTTACCCCAGCTTGCTCCTGCCCTGGGGCCTTTGACCAGCTGTCCCTGAATACAATGTACCTCCCCACATCCCACCCTCCTCGAGGGTAGCGTCCAGTGCCCAGAGCCATCAGTAGACAGCCTGGGGACCAATGAGCCATTAGTAGACAGCTTGGGGACCAATGGGCACATGGTCGCTGGGGACTTGGACTTCTGGCCTGTCTAGAGAGGGTATCTGCCCTGCAGGGCCAGGCCAGGGGCTAGGAGGCCACAGGGGATGGCATGGGGCCCCAGTCTTCATCTGCAGCCATGCATGCCTCAACAGGACCTGTCCCAACCTGAGGGACCCCAGAAGGTCTGGCCACTGAGCAGATCCCAGGGACCAGGGCTGGGCTGGCCAGGCCCAGCCACTGGCCCAGAGCTCTAGGCCTCCGCCCTCCCCAGTGCAGAGGGAAGGCTGTTATCAAACCCAGACTCACCCCGCACAGTAAGTGAAAGCAGCCATGCCTAGCTGTGCCCCAGACTTCAACGACAGGCGTCTCCAACGACAGAAATACCCCAAAATGCCACACAGACCCCATGCAGGTCACACTGGCCACACCTTGGACAGAGAGAGACATGAGGACAGTGGCCATCACACCCTGAGGGGCTTGCTGCTCAGCTGTCCAGGCAGCAACTCTGCAGGGAAGAGCCAGGTTGTCAGAGGGGAGAGGGCCCGGAGTCCCACCCCAGGAAACACATGCGTGCACACACTCAGACGCCCTGGGGACTTAGGGCATCTGCCCACTGCCCACCCTCAGTGCACATTCACACTGCCAGGCAGTGCCCTGAAGAACCCCACGAACTGCCTCTGGGCTCAGACCTTGGTGGAGACCTGCTCAGAACACTGGCCTTGCTCCAGGGTCCCAGCACTTCATCCAGGGCCTGCCCCAGCAGGTGCCACCCCCACCCTCCAGGGCAGCGTGGGCATGGGGCCTAGCTCAGCCCTCCAAGCTCTCCCTCAGTCCCACTGACTGCCAGTCAGCGTTGGAGGCCCAGGGAGCCACAGAGTCAGGAAGCAAGAGATGGGAGGTGGCACCCAAAGGTGGGACTGGCTGCCGGTCCCCAGAAGCTGTGAGAAGGCTAGGCTGGGCAGAGTGCTGGAAAGGAAGTTACAGCAGCATGTCCCCAGGCTGGCCCAAGGGCATCCCTTTTGCCTGTTCCAGCCAGCCTGCACCTGTCTGCCACAAGGGACCACATACTCAGGGAATGTCTGGGTGGCAGGAGGGGTCTTGGAGGTGACGCCTGGGCTGAGCAAGAGCAGGACAGGGATTCTTCTGTGACATCTAATTGCCCTGCAGAGTTAAGTGGTCAGTAAATGCTGGTTGGTGGACTTTCTGTTCATACCCTACAGTGTACTTTCAGGATTTAGTAAACTGTATTCTCATTTAAAAAAATAAAAAAGAGCGGGGCAGGGGAGCAAGTGCCCACCTGGGGGTGGCGACCACTGTCCAGTGTGATCCAGGAGCTACCAGGGCCAGGGGCCATGGTCTGGCTTGGGGGACAATGGCCAAGCATGTCTCTACCCTGTGAGCAGTGGGAAGCCCCCAGAGTGACAGGACCCACCCCTGTCTTCAGGACTCGAGCATAATTAGTAAAGGTGGGCCCCACACACTGGCATCATCCCTTCCTTTAAGGGCAGTCCTGACACACAGCAGGGCTGGCCCTTGAGGATGTCACGCTGAGTGAGTGGCCCTGTCACACCAAGAGACACCAAGACTCGACCCCCCAAGGGGCCTGCAGCCTCCAGTTCAGGAGCAGAATGGGACTGAGGGTGGTTGGGGCCGAGAGCTTCTGATTGGAAGAAGGCCCTGGAGATGGGCGACGGTTGGCTGGAGGGTGTCACGCACAAGCTTGGAGCACTGAGGTGCACTCTGGGAGGCTGAGAGGCTCAACCTGCAGGGCGGGAGCCGGAGGCCGAGCAGGTTGTTGGAGGGAGGTGGCAAATCAAAGTTGGAGGGTTGGGTCCTGGTTGGGAAATGGGCCTGGAGGCACCAGACCCCCAAGGACACTGGCAGCTGATGTTTCATGCCAGTCTCCCCTCCAATGGAGACCATGGACCCCAGAGGTGGGACGGGATAGGTTCAGGGTAGGATGGCCAGGGGTTTTTGCGGCTGGGGAGGAAGCAGCAGGGAGCCACAGAGCACCCACACTTGGCTGACAGAGGAGGGGCCCATACCCAGCGTGCCTGGCCGCAGGCGGGGGCAGCCAAACAGGGCAGAGGCCCAGAACAGGCAGCGAAGGTGGACTGGGAGCCACAGAGGAAGGCGCTGTGGGCATGAGCCAGTGGCCACAGTGGGGCCTGGACTTTTCTGGGGACCTGAAGGGTGGAGGGACTTGGGGGTTTCGTGGGTAGAGACCAAACTCACACAGGAATGGTACAGCCAAGTGAGCTAGGGGGTGGTCCCTCGGCCACGCGAGGTGGGGGCCCAGAACACGCCCACCCACCCCTCTGCTCGGAGGGCCCGTTGGCCGAGGGAGCCAGGAATGTTCCAAACCCGCAGGGAGGGGTTCTCCCTGGGTAGAGGCTGAGGGATCTCCCAGGTGTGGGTGCCATCTGGCAGAGGCACTGAGCAGCCAGAGTTACACCCTCCACACGGCCCTGGTCCCCAGGATGGGACAGGGCTCACCCGGCAGAGCAGTGGTTTTCAGGGGAGGGTCCCAGACCCCTGCCCTGACCTGGGGGCCCAGCAGTACCCACAATCAGCAGCCCTCATGACAACTCCCCCAGACAGTGACCCCCCATCTGCTCAGTTCCATGTGCAAGTGAGAGGCGGCTCTATGCCCAAAGCTGTGGGGTCCAAACGCCAAGCCCAGTGGGGAGGACAAGAGCCAGGGGGCACAGTCCAGAGCCAAGCACAGGGGCCCTCCATTGGCCCAGCAGGCTCCCTGACCTGGGCCTCCTCACTAACAGTACTCAGCAGTGGCTGCTGTGGACACCAAGCCTGGGCAGCAACCTAGGCTCCAAGAGTAATGTTCATCAATGCTAATGTGGCCCACCAGGGTGGCAGGTGACCACAGCCTGCTGTCGGCCCCCCTGCAGGGGCCAGGCACCCACAAAGCAGCTCCTACACCTGCACCTGCTCAGCTCTACGCTCTGAACCAGTGGGAGTGGCTCAGACGAGTGTGTCAGTCACCTCTACCAAATCTCCCTGGGGGGCAGGAATCAGGAAAATGTCCCCAGGGGGCCTCCTCCACTGCTGCAGACACCCTCTCAGGGGCAAACCTCAGATCAAGGCTGGCTTCACAAATTACAGGACAGACAGTGGGTCTGGTGCCTGTGGCCACCAGGCCCACAACACCACCCAGGAGAGGAAGAGGTCATGGGCACTTACAGAGCAAACGCCTTTTATTGAATTCACAGCTGGGTGCAAATGTGCCACCAGGACTGCCTTCCCATGGCCCCTTGAGACCCTGAGCGCAGAGACCTCTGGGCCACAGGAAGCCCCCCAGCAGTGCAGCAACCTGGCGGTCCAGGCTAGAGGCCAGGCAGCACCCAGTGACAAGCCCGGGCACAGGGCACCTGCTCACAGGCCCATGCCCCAGGAGCTCTGCCCAGAAGGACACAGACCACCAGCCCCAGGGTCTCCAGCAAGCAAACCACATGCCACGCTTCCCACACTGGGCTCCTTACAAAAGGAAGGTTGCCCACACTGGGATCCGCAGGCAGACTCGCATTTAATAGAATGCCCTTCTGAAAACTCATTTCAAAATAGAGAGCTCTCCCCGAATTGTAAAAGCCATAAAAATGCAAAATACTTCTTTAGGAAAAATTGAATCAAAATTACACCTCATGTTCAAAATAGCACAAAACCTATTTCGGCCATCACCTCGCACACAGGCCCCGCCTGCCCAGATTCAGTTGTTCTCAATCTGTTCCAGGTCCAGGTCGCCACGGTCCAGGGGGAAGATGCCCTCCTCCCCGGCACTGTCCCAGTCACTGGGGTCTCCACTGCTCCCTCCCTCGCCTGTGCTGGCCACTGGCTCCCTGGAGGCCCAGGAGCTGATTGGGCAGGGCCCGGGAATCCTGGGGCTGGAGCCTGGCGTGCTGGTGCCCACAGGGGCCTGCGAGTCACAGGGGGAGGACACGACCGTCTTCGCCTGGGCCTCGTCCTCGTTGTCGTCCTCGCAGTCCAGAGAGCAAAGGCTCTTGGAATTTTTTAAAGTCTGCAACAGAAAAGACAAAGGCTGAAAGCACTCCCTGCAGGCCGCGTGCTGGTTCCAGGGATACAGCAGCATGGCTCCACCCACACCAGAGGCACAAGGCTTGTGGGTGCCTGGCACCTGACAAGCCTAGCCACCAAGGGGACTCGGCAAGAGCTGCATCGGGAGCCCTAGTCTTGTACCCAGCAGACAGACCAGCAGGGAGGGTCCCATGTGTCCGTCCAACAGCATCCCCCACCCAGGGCACACTCTGCTCTTCTGCTCCCTTCACCTCTCAGCCATCTGGGCCTCACCAAGAGAAGTATGAACCCACACAGAACCTGACCACTCACCTGGCTCACCACGGCTTGTCACCCAAGGCCTATCCACTTCCACCTGGTCTCCCACTTTCCTACTCTCCTTATGGTTGGTCATTCTTCAAATATACGTCTGTGCAAATACTTCCCCTCTTAACATCTAAGACACACACATGAGGCCACCAACCACCCTGTCCCAAGTGGGTACCTCCCAGCCCTGTCCAGGTCCCCAGGCTGCCCAGGGCGGCAAAGCCTCAGCCCTCTGCTGAGAGGCTTTGACACCTGCTAGCACCACGGCAGCTGCCCCCCTCCTCACTGGGCCCTGCTCAATTCAACCTCCAATCTGCACCCCATAGTCCCTGGACCATCCCCATGCCAGCTAGGCTGTGCACTGGCCCCCAGCAACAGCCATGGACATTCCACCTCAAGACTGCACTATAGAAGCCACCTCTCGGCATAAACAGGACTTGGTCCCAGTACCATTTCCCAGCCTGCAGCTCAGTCCAGTGATGGCTCCCCGGACCCACTGACCACCTCGGCCTCCACTGCAGCTCCACCTACCCAGGGGTTGACTGCTTAGGGTCAGACTCATGCTGGCTTCAGACATGTGTCATGTGGTTGGACACGGGGCACAGACCACATGGAAACACAGCCCTGGGCTGGAAGCCAAACTGGCACAGGACCTGACCAGCTCTACACAGCCCAGCGCCCTCCCCACACCTCGATTTTCTAGAGGCTCCAGCTGCTCACAGGACAGCATCTGCTTCTGGGTAGAAACTCCCCAGACCCACTGGGAGGTGAGGGTGAAGGGAGGTGAGCGCACCCTCCAGGGTGCTCCTGATGAGTCAGCGCCTGCAGGAACCCACCCTGAGTCCAGCTCCCCCAGACACAGCTCCCCCGGACCCAGCTCCCCCGGACCCAGCTCCCCAGGACCCAGCTCCCCCAGGACCCAGCTCCCCCGGACCCAGCTCCCCCGGACCCAGCTCCCCCAGGACCCAGCTCCCCCGGACCCAGCTCCCCCGGATCCAGCTCCCCCGGACACAGCTCCCCCGGACACAGCACCCGGAAGGACGCTTCCCAAGACACAGCGCCCCGTTTCCTGCTGTCATGGCTCAACTATGAAAAGTGAGCATCTGAGGAGTTACATCCCAGAGAACCAAGTCCTCAAAGACAAACGCAGCCACGCTTGGGCACGAACAAGGGTGCATCACTACTTTTTCTCAAACCATGATGAGCTGGACCCCGTGCCACCTCCACAGGCAACCTCCACTGGCCCGAGCGTTTGTCCTGTCTCCCCCCGGCCCTATTGGTCAGTGGGGCCACACTGTTTGCTGCGCCAGCTTATAGGGACACTGCATTTCAGCCCTCAGTACAGAGGCCAACCTGCTGGACTTGTGCATAAATCTGACAGACACACAGGAACCACTGCGGGGTCCTGTCACCTCTGTGACCCCAGCTGTGCAGCTAAGGCAGGAAACCAGCAGCTCTGAGGACTTCCAGGTGTAGACAGGACAGGATGGCTGCTCCAGGAGACACGAACCTCACGCAGGGCTGGGCTGCAGAGAGGACACTGAGGTTCCCAGGGTGACCACTACACTGACACCGTCTGCACACCTGGCCTCGTCCCCAGGGCTGTCCTCCACTTCCAAGCAGAGAAGCCTGACAGATGCGTGGAAAAGCAAAGGACAGATTCAGGTTCTAAGCAGCGCTGTCTCCAGAGCGCCTTTGGCCCTGGGCATGACACAGCCTGTGGGGACAGACTTGACTCCTGAGGCAGGCTGGCTCGTGGTTAAGACTGTAGCACCATCATCAGGTGAGCTAGGGAAGAAAGGGCGGCCTCCTAACACCATCCCAAGATCACTTCCACACACATCCAGGCTGGGCTCACCACATCTGCACTGACCCACCTGCAGAAGCCCCAGCTTTGGCCAAACTAAGACGTCCAGGTTCACATTTTGGGGAAAGTACTAGCCCTGCCCACCATCCAAGGCTACTCAGGACCAATGCTAACTGTCCACAGGCCCAGTAGCCCCTCTGCAGGCCAGGGCTCTAGCCAGGGCCTAGCCCAGAAGAGTAAGCCACGGTGTGGCCAAGAAACAGCAAAGACATTGGGCAAATGCACAAGAGCCTCCCTCCATGGCCAAGAGAAAGGCCAGGCTGGTCCAGGCCAGGGGCCTGCATGCCTGCGCACATCCACACCAAGGGCCACGGTAGACATGGTCAAACAGGTGTGTCCACAGGCCTGTGTGTGAGCACGCCACGTGTATATGATGAGGAAGCAGGTGTGGGAAGCACATGGACCCCTGGTCCCTGCCACCTCCGCTGGCACCTGCCCCAGCCTTGCCCGAGAGGAGCTGCACTCTCAGGAGTTTCTGGTAGAGGGTGGGGGCTAGGTGAGCACCTGCACCCCACATGCAGGCCTCTCCAGGCAGGGACTCCCGGGCCTCTCTGGGACTCGAGCCTGAGGAGACTCCAGCCTACCTGATGCCACAGGAAGCCCAAGGCTGAGGGCCGCACCCCATGCATCTCTGAGAGCAAACCCAAAGAGGAAGCAGGAGGTATGGCGGCCAGCAAAGACAGCCTGCCCAGCAAGACACAGGGTGTCGCACAGACAAGATGCCCATCACTCAACAGAAAGAAAGACGGGAGAGAGAAGCAGGACACCAGTGACCTGAGCCCAGGCCACAGGGAGGGACGGCACCCACTCCTAACAGCAAGTCACGGCTGCAGGAAGGAGTCGGATGAAGACAGGGATCGAGGTCCTAAGAAGCACAAGACAGTAGCTAGGGTGGACACCAGGATGGGGCCACATGCCCCTGCCATGGCACTGGAGAGGCAGGAGAGCCAGGCCACAGCACTGCCGCAGGAGGCCTGCGGCCAGGATGGCGGGAAGCAGGCAGCTTCTCACCCCACTTCTGCTGCTGACCATGCCCGCAGGTACCCTGAACCGTCTGGGGACCTGAGGCCATGGTGGCCCTGCTCAGGGAGGCCCGCGCCCTGCTATGCCCACACTCTACCTTTGTCTACCTGGCACCCAGGAGCCACCACACTCCCGGGGGCTTGACAGAGTGGGGGCCCATGCACACAGCCTAAGACACTGGCTCCGTTGTGACCCCGTGTGGCCCCAGGCAGCTCCCTCCACAGGGTGGCAATGGCCTCTGAGACAGCACTGGCTTGTCACCATGTCCACCTTCACATGTGTTTATCCAACGAGAAGATTAAAGTCACAAGTGACTGACGGGACGTGGAGCAGGTCCTCGGGACTGTCTGTTGGCTCAGCACTGGGGACAGTGTAGACAGAGAGCCCATCGGAAGGCCCTACTTCGGGAGATGACTTCGAGAGGGAGGCCAGCCCAAGACAGCCCTCTGCAGGGAGGCAGGGGAGGGCCAGCGGCAGCACCCCTCACCTGTGCACGCGGCCTGGTGCAGTCCTGGGGAGAAGGTCCAGAACAGGCGCAGGGAGAGAGGCAAGGGCACACACAGGTCTCTGCTGGGGCCTGCAGGCCCAGCTCAGAAGGCAGCTCCTCTACCCTGAGTGCTCAAGCTCAGCCCCACTGTGGTACCGCTGGGGGGCCAGGTCATGTACCCTGCAGAGGGCTCAGGGGAACCAGCAAGGCCCACTGACCTCCGTCCCTATGCATGGGAGGAACAGGGTGGTCTCTCCACAGGAGGCACCAATGCTGGGCCTCTGGACACCCAGCTAGAGTCCAGCCTCCAGACCCAGGGAGCCTCCGCATCCTCATACACCCAGACACCAGACCGGCTGTTGCTGCTGCTGTTTTTGGTGATGCTGGGGAGAGAACCCAGAGCCCAGAACATGCTAAGTCTACACTCCACCGCTGAGCTCATCCATAGCCGCCAAACTGCAGAATTCTGTCACAGCACATAGACTAAGAGGGCCTCTCTCTGGGGACAGCGAACTGTGGTAAGCTTTGAGGACTTCTGGCTTCAACAAGAAAGGCACCTGAGCATCCCAGCACACGGTGGTCACGGGGGCTCAGCCTGCTTTCCTCCTGACTCTGAGGCCCAGGACAGTGGTGACAGCTCACAAACCTTGATTCCCATGAGCACAACACCCCAGAGGCTTCGTCACCCATGTCCAGCCCAGCTGGCCTTAGGTTCTATGGAATAATAATAATTACTGACCAGCTGCTAACTGCTATCTTAAAGCCTTCCAGGCCCAGATGAAAGGCCAACAGGGAGCAGTTTCCATCTGCACCACAGACGGGAGTAGGCTCAACCCTGCAGAGGGCAGCATGTGCCACCCTGGAGATGCTCTACAGCTCGGAGGGCGCACCCTGTGGGAAGCCGGCCCCTGCTTGCCCACCACTGCAACCATCCACAACGTCCAGGGCAACTTCCACCTTGGACCATCGCCTGGCTGATGAAAACAAAACTATTTTCCTGTGAAAACAGAGTCCACATGGGGCTCAGGGCAGTCAGTGTGTGTCTACCTGCTGCTGCCTAAAGCCCACCTTAACCCTGCCCAGTGCAGGCCCAGAGTGAAGGCTCTGGTCCCTAGGCCAGGCCCTACCTCCTACTGCAGTGGCCAGGGCCTCGGTGCAGGAGCATCCAGCTCTCCATGTCCAGGTCCTGGCTGAGCTCTCTGCCCATGGATACGGCAGTGGCCACCTCTAAAAATGGAGGCTCCTGGTTCCCCATCACGACCAACCCACTGTGGCCCTCACCAGATCTCCAGCACACCCAGACTAGGGCTGAGCAAGCAGCCCTCCCGAGGCTCCTTCAGAAGACTGCCTGTCCTGTTGTGTGGACGCAGGCCCCAAAACCGAGTGATGGCAGCCACTGCAGAAGGCCCAATAACAGCTGGAGTGACAGATGAGCGGGACAGCCACCAGCATCCAGACAGGCTTCCTGGGGAGACTCCCGAGGCGCAGACAAGGCTGGATGCAGGAACCACAGGTGTCCCTCAGGGCCACCTCCGCCCACAAGTGACATCTCAGGGTCCAGGCTACTCCAGACTCACCCCGGTACCTGAAAACGCAGCACCAAGCATCCAGGTAAGCCACATGGCACGGCACCGGCATGCCTGCTCCTTAGGTTGAACAGCTGCACTTCCTGCTGGGCAGGCTACTCCGGCACCAAGGGGGCCGTGAGGCAGCAGGCTAGACCAGCAGGTGGAGGGGCAGGCATGCAGGACTCTGCACCCAGGACAACCAGGCTGGCCGGGAGTGCTGCAGACAGGTCTCTCCAGCACAGGGCCTTGGCCACAACCCTCACAACAGCACACACCTCACTACTGACAGCATCAGGAGGAGAATTCACAAAGGTCAAGAGGGATCTGAAAATGACATCACCCAAAAATGAGACCCTAATTAAAACAGACCCTTTATCACAAAGATACAACTTACATAAAAAAATAAGTAGAAAATCCTAAAAGATGTGTAACCCATTAAAGAAACAGCAGCAGCAGGTGCCCCAGGCCCAGATGGAACTCATGGGCGAGGCTTCGACTCAATCAGGAAACGTAGGCAAAGCGTCCTCAGGGCTCTGCTCAGAAAGGCCACAGGCCCAGGCCAGGAGAGACTTCTGACCACCTGTGCAACCAGAGCAGAGAGCCCCGGGAGACTGCTAGCTCTTGACAGAAGGCAGGGACGCAGGTCCAGAGGCCTGTGGGAGGCTGGCCCCAGGAAAACAGGCTTGGTACCAGGACCCACAGTCACACCCAGAGGCCACAGGAAGCCGCGTACAGCTGTGGACGACGTGGACGACGTGAAGGGCAGGGCTGCCCCAGAAGCACAGCCCATTGGGAGTAACCCAGCAGCCGGGGGGGGGCAGGCTCTCAGGTGCAGCTGGACATGCTGGTCCCCTCCCCATGTGGGCTGCCACTCCACAGGGCAAAGGAGCTGCACTGCATGGCCCTGCACAAGCCGCAGACTGACCACACACCTACAAGGTCTGCAGAGCAGGTTCAATGTCCTCACTCTGAAACATAAAGATCGAGCACACATTCTGAAGTGGCTGACAGCAGGTGGAGAGGAGGAGGCTTAGAGGACAGTCAGCTGACAGGGACAGGGACACACAGAGGACAAGGGTCAAGGGAAACGGTGGGGTCAGTTTTGATCAAGGACAGCTCACAAACAAGCGAGCTGCGCAGCTTGGGAGGCTCAGGCAGGAGACAGCTATCTGAGAACAGCTGCCGACCCATGGAGCCCCCATAGCAACACAGAAAGGGCTGGGAAGTGATACTGGCCAAATTATACATAAATATGTACCTGTTTATTTTTTGGTTTTGGGGGGTTTTTTGGTACCAAGGATTCAACCCAGGGGCACTTAACCACTGAGTCACATCCCCATCCCTTTTTATATTTTATTTTGAGCAGGGTCTTGCTAAGTTGCTCAGGAACTCATTAAGTTGCTAAAGCTGGCTTTGAACTTATGATCCTCCTGCCTTGGCCTCCTGAGCTGCTAGGGTTACAGGCATGTGCCACCATGCCCAGCCAAATTGTATTTTCATATGTGCATTTATGAATATGTAACAACTATTATCACTATTATGTAGAAATATAAGGCACCAGTAAAAAAAAAAAAAAAAAGCAAAATTTTTTTTAACATTTAAAAAAAGGGTTCACGGGTAAAACACTTGCCTAGTATGTGTGAGGCTTCAGGTTCAATAACCAACACCTCAAAAAGATTTTTTTAAAAAGTAGGTGTGGAGCTGGGGCTATAGCTCAGTGGCAGAGCACTCACCTAGCATGGGTGAGGCACTGGGTTTTAGTCTCAGCACTACATAAAAATAAACAAATAAAAGTATTGTGTCCATCTACAACCAAAAAACAAAAAACAGGCAGACAAGAGGGAGACTGGAAGAACAATACTTGGGGCTGAGGTCCACGGGTCCGGGTTTGCAGAAGCAGCAAGAAAACATCACTGCCTCCTTGGGACTTGGTCCCTGGTGATCTGAGCATGACCCTCGTGGTGCAAAGAGCAGAGCTGCTCTTTTCACTAAGAATGAGGGCTAGGTGGCATTGCTATTTGTGAACACTTTCACAGATAACGTGAAGGAAATGGCGCTTCACACGCTGCATGCCATCACACGGCATTGCACACAGCAGACCTCAACAACCGACGTGGCCTGCGTCCCGGAGGGGCACAGCATGACAGGGGCCCTGCTGCTTCACTTCATTAAGAAAGTGACTGAAGGGGCTGAGGCTAGGCTCGTTGGCAGAGCTCTCACTGAGTATGGATGGGCACCAGGTCTGATCCTGAGCAAATAAAGGTATTGTGTCCACCTACAACTAAAAAAAAATAAAATAAAAAAAGTGATTCAAGGAAGTGCAGCAAGTTGTCACCCACCAACCCTGGGGTGGGGACACACACAGAAAGGCCCATCACAATCCTAAGGTGGGAACACAAAAGTCTAACTATTATGTTTTTTAATAATTTGAGATGCCAATTTTTATTGTAATTGGGAAAGATGGTCAGTAAGATTCAGAGAATGGAAGCTGACCATTTTGCATTACACAGAAATCCCACCTGCACCTCCTACCACTTTGCTCACTGCCCACTGCATCTACACTAGCTAAGAAAGTGCATTTGATCTCTGTCACACACAGCGCTTGGGGACACATTCCTGATGAGCAGAGATGTGGAGTTTCCACACTAATAAGCAAGGCTAATAAGCAGCTGCCACAGACACCAGGGTCTGTGGTGTCTAAAGTGCCGAAATCTCTCAGCTTTCCAGAGCATGAAAGCCACAGCGAGGTGTGCAGAGCACAGCCCCACCCTCACACCTGAGGCACCTGGCCAGCCAGCCTTGCCTCTGGCCACGCCCTGCCCTGTGGGGCACCCCACTGTCCCACATCTATGGACACTCTGACCCAGCACCACCCTTGGTCATGCCCGCCTTCTCTCTCCCCCAACGGGTGCGGAGTGTCTATGGTATCTCCAGAACGTGACTGTCGCCTGGCCATCAACATGTCCCTGGCATGAGCTATGTCCACCCTGAAGGCACCCAGCCAATGGCTCCCCACTGGCAGCCCCTCCTCTGCCGTCCTCCTTCTACCCACAAGCCATGCCCACGGGCACCCTGGCTGGTGGAGGACAGTGCTGTGGGCCTGGAGCTCCTCCGGCTGTCCAGAGGCGCCCCACCTGGCTCTCTGCAAAGTGAGTCAGGGTCTGACCCCCATCACCACCAGGAAGAGCCTTGCAGAGAACTGGCCGATCAAGTGGTCCTGGTCCAGAGCAGGCACATGGCAGGGCCCCATGGCGTCCCACACGGGACACCAGCCAGTTGGCCAAGAGCCTGAGGCCACTGTGCTGACTGTGCTCAGGACTCGGCAGACTGCACTCCAGCAGCTGCTTCCAGGACAGACTGGGCACTGCCCACCAACTGCCCACCACGTGCAGGGCCCACACTTACCCACAGCAAGGCCCCACAGCAGCAGGAACCAATGGCCTGAGGCCCTGGGATGGGCTGGGCAGTGGGCAGTCAGGGAACAGCCAGGGCCACGGGTCACTTAATGAGGAGGCCGTTACACCCTGCCACCCCACCTTCCGCCTTGTGCAGCCCCAGGACCCCACACAGCCAACCAGCTGTAAGTAGGGCCCATCCAGGTCTAGTCTCCTTCCACCTGAGGCAGGGAGACGGACATGCCTCCCAGTACACACCAGAGGCCCCTCTCAGTCCTCCCCTTCTGGACTGCGCCACAGGCAACAGCTGTGGGCATCGCCAAAGGTCAGGGTGCTGGCACCCACTGTAAGATCTCCAGGCTGCGCCAGGTTTTCTTCCAGACCACAACACAAAAATGGCTCCCTCTAAATGGACTTTCCCAGGGCTGGAGCTGTGGCTCAATAGCAGAGCTCTAGCCTAGCATGTGTGAGGCACTGCGTTCCATCCTCAGCACCTCGTAAAAATAAATAAAATATTAAAAAAAAGGACTTTCCCAAGAGGTGGCAGGGACATCAGGGTCACGTGTGGGTGCTACCTGCCAGCTGCTACTAGACTGAGTCACCTACAGCCAGGCCAGTGGCCCCATCTCCCACTGACTCCCATGGGCCAAGGGGCCCACGGTTTGGAGCAGCTCCCCAAGCTCTGCTGGGGTCCCGGGCTCACTTCCCGGGTGATTGCCACCCTTGAAGATGCAGCAGGGTCCCCAGCAGACAGCCCACTGGACTGGAGAGGCACATGCACTCCTCCCGGCTTCCTCTGTCCCCAGGGCCAGTGTGCAAGCTCTGCCCCAGTGTGACTACAGGTGCTCTGAAGCAGAGACAGGGCCACCATCACTCACAGTTGGACTCCACTCCATGGGGGCTATGCTCCCTGCCCAGGTCATCCCACATAGCACACCGACTCAGAATGAGGTGCACTGATCCTTGCACAAGGCTCCTTGCCCCTTGCACAACCCCCAGGCACACCCCATCAGGGCCTAGGTCTCCTGAGCACCCAGGACTCACGGTGAAGCTCACCCGTGTCATTTTTAGTAAGTCCAAGGACGGGCGCGTCCACCTGGCATCCTCCTCACGCCTCCGTTTGCGCCGGCTCCTCCTCCCGCTGAGCACGCATGGCTGTGAGCGGCACCGCAGCAGGCCAAGGCGCCGGCCCAGCTCGGGTGTGGATGTGGGGGTGCTGCTGGCTGAAGGCAGGTGGGTCCCTGCCTCTGCGAGGTGCTCCTGTGAGAGGGACAGGCGGCGCCTTGAGGAGAGCGGGCAGGGCCCTGTGGGACGCCAGGGCAGGCCCGAGCCGGAGGAGCTGCCTTCACTGCTGTCCACGAAGCCGCTACTGGCTGATGCAGGCCGGGGCACCAGAGGCGAGATGGGGCCGGCAGGCGATGTGGGGCTCCTGGGCAGGCCTGCACCCGGGCTCCGCTGCAGGGAGGAGCTGCCGGGGCTGCAACGCTGCAGTGTGGCACTCCCGCCGCTGTTGCACCGCCTCTTGGAGACTGGCGTCCAGACCTTGGAGCTGCCAGGACGCCATGGGGACCGGCAGCGTGCCAGCTCCTCGGGCTCGGATAGAGATCGGCAGTGTCGCTTGGTCGGTGGTGCCACGGGTGGCCCTGTGTTCTCGCAGAGGTTCAGAGCACTGTCCACCCCCGGGCCTGTGCAGGAGCAGGGAGACTCCGACCTCCACTGAAGACCCTCAGTGTGCGCCACGCCACAGGGGCCTGGGAGGAAGGGGCACACAGGCCCCGCGGCCGCCTGGCTCCCAGCAGGTCGTCCTGTGTGAAAAGCCTTCCAGGGGCTCTCATCCACTGAAGAGACACAAAGGGCGGAGGAGAGACGGTGAGCAGGGGCTGGGGTCCCCAGCAATCCGGACATAGGCCAAGAGCCTGCCCCAGTTCTGTTCTGAGGGATGCAGCCACAGCAGTGGGACAAAAGGTGACACAAGGTGAGTACGTGTTAGAGCAGAAGCCACCAGCCACTCGGGCAAGGCTGGCCCACCTGTGCTGACCACTGGCTCCGGGACAGTCTCCCTCCCTAAAGGCCAGCTGTGGGGCTAACTCACTCTGAGGAGACCACCTGGTCTCAGGAGGCCCTCAGAGCACCCCTGGGGGCAAGCCCAGCTCTGTGCACGCCCTGCACCACCGAGCTGTCTCCCTCTGTCCCTGCCAGCCTCACAGGCTGGGACCCCACAGTGCCACTTCTTAGAAACAGCCCCCAAGCTCAGAGGTTGCCTCCTTGGCTGAAGGGCGAGCCTAGGAAGACGCAGGCACCCCCCTGCATGGCCGTCCCCAACGACACAGCTACACAGTGCACACCAGGGCAGATCGCAGTGACAGCCACAGCAACACCTGACTCCTTCTCTAGGGGCCAAAGGATGCCATGGGGCAGCCTGGTACCTCCCAGGAAGGGCCAGACAGTCCCCTGACCCCCACCCACATTGCTGCCAGCAGAGAAGGCAGAGCCCTCGCTGAGCCCTGACCCTGGCCCATCCTCACAGACCATGCATGACCACTGGCCCAGCAGGGAAGACAGTAGCCAGCGACCTTCCCGGCCCACACAGAGGACACAGAGGATCCCCGGGGCCTGGCTCTAAGACTCCCCTGGGTCCCACCCTACTCCCTGTCAAGGCTTCTGAGACACTTACCACTGACCTCCAAAGGGAACAAATGGCCACTTTTGTTCAGTTGCTCAGCAGAATACTAAAAGTGATAAGAGAGAAGTTTCAGCACTGAGACTTACATATGAAAATTCAGAAAAAAGAAATTCTCCTAGCTGGCATGGTGGTGCACACCTATAATCCCAGTGGCTCAGGAGGCTGAGGAAGGAGGGTCTCAAGTTCAAAGCCAGCCTCAGCAACTTAGCCAGTCCCTAAAGCAACTTAGGAAGACCCTATCTCTAAATAAAATGTAAAGAAGGGCTGAGGAGGTGGCTCAGTGGTTAAGTGCCCCTGAGTTCAATCCCCTGTACCAAAAAAGAAAAAAAAAAAAAAAAAGAAATACTCCAATGCATTCATCACTGCAAAAAATCCTACTTCTCCCTAACACTTTATTTTGGGGGTAATGGTGATTAAAATGAAAAGCACTGGCTTCCAAACACACTCTGTGAGCGTGTGTATGTGAGTCCAGTGCTGAGGTGGAACCCAGGGCCCATGTATGTAAGGTAAGTGCTCCTCTGCTGAGCTACACCCCAGCCCTTTTTTATTTTTTTATTTTGAGAGAGGATCTTGCTAAGTTGCTGAGGCTGGCCTCGAACTTTCTATCCTCCTACTTCAGCCTGATTACAGGTGTGCACCACCACATCCAGCATTATTGAAAGTTTTTTTAAGCCAGGTATGGTGGCGTACACCTGTAATTCCAGCAGCTCAGGAGGCTAAGGCAGGAGCCTGATCACAGGTTTGAGACCAGCTTCAGCAACTTAGCAAGGCCCTGTCTCAAAATTTTAAAAAATATAAAAGGCTGGGGCATAGCTCAGTGACAGAGCACCCAGGATTCAATCCCCAGCACCAAGAACTTGCCAACCTAAGCTAGATGAATGGGCAGTTTCACTCTGAGCCTCAGACACACCTCCTGTCACTGAGCCTGACGCACCTGCTGCCTCTCCTCTGGCAGCTTGGGATGTGTCTGTGCTCCAATCATTGCGCCTTCCTCTTCAGCAAGGAGCCCCAGAGCCAGGCAACTGAGGGTGCAGAGCCTCCCACTCCCTCAGGGAGGCAGCTCTAGGGGCCAGCACAAAGATGCCATGGCAAATGCCACATGGCCTTTCCCGTCACTGCACTCCATGATGTAGCAGGGACAGCATGGCTGCTGCACAGAAAAGGCACTAACGGTTGGTTCTGAGACCAAGAAAAAGACACCCATGGATAGCAGCTGCCCACATGCACAGCTGTGGGGGCTGGCATAGGCACAGGCACTAGTTAGTGATCTTCAGGTTCAGAAGCAGAGAAGCAACAGTTCTGCAGACCACCTGACACTGACAGCGCACACCTGAAGGCTCCCAGGCCCTGGTGCAAACCAGCACAGCTGTGGTACCGCCCAGGCCGGGGGCTCACTCTCCCAGCCCCTTCCACATGGCTGCAACCTCGTCTGTGGCTGGCAATGCCTCATGGCCAGTGGCCCTTCCCCCCATCCCAGTACTCCCCCACAGTGAGTACAGGACAGCACACAGAGCTCACCCTCCCAGGTCTGCATCCCCAGTGTATAAGGAAGTGGCCCCCAATCCACAGACTTGCAAGACAGGGCTCCCTCAGCCAGCTCGAATGGCTGCCACCGTGACTGAGGACCGCAGGCCTGCACCTCCCAAGTGACCAACACACATGCGGGGCAGCACATGCTTCCAGCAGGTCCCCACACATACAGGCTGCATGGGATATGAGCTGAACTGGTAACCTCCACATCCACCCAGGCCAGTGGCATGATGGGACTTCCCAGAGCCCCATGTCCCTCCCCAGCACCAACCATAGCCAGCCACAGCCACTCTATGCCAGTCTGAATGGTGACCCAGGCCAGCTGCATTCTCTGCTTCCATCTGGCGTCCCAGCCCTCCCCTCCCACTGCCCCAGGGCAGCTACTCTGACCCGAGTCCACAGTTTCCTACTACCACCAGTTTGTCAGCCAGCAAGGATCTCCCCAAGACCTGCACACAGCCCACCACCCACCACCTCCAGCCCCAGCCAGAGGCCATCACCCTGCAGCCCCCGACCACTCTGGCCACCCTCAGGGGCACCAACATTTCTTTAAACACACTGCACAACTCACTCTTGCCCCTGCCCAGCATCTGCCACCCACAGGTGAGCACTTATACCCCACCCCAGCATGGGAACAGGTACAGGTATGGGAAGGCACCCAGCTGCGTGACTTCTATATGTGGAATTCAGTACCTGCTGCTATCTCCAGGCCTCTGGACACCCAAACACAAGCACTGTCCACTCTTTTCTCTCCCTGGCCCTGAGGGCCCTCATGGCCCACCTTTCTGCCACAGCAACAGAAGGACCCTTCCCACCTTTCAGTGCTCAGCCCCTATCATGCCCCCAGCCCCCAGCACTGCTCCAGCAGTCAGTGAGGCCCCGCCACAACCCCCAGTGTCACCAGTCATCACTCCTATGGTCACTGGTCATCTGTGGACCTCCAAGTGGTCAGCGTCTCCTCTGGCCTGAAGCCACAGGCAAGGGAAGGAATCAAAACCCAAATCTCCCCAGAGGGCAAGGAACACCCTGCTAAGTGCCCCGGGAGCTGGTCAGGACCGCCACGTGCTGAAGAACCCTCCAGACTCACTCCTGCCATGAAGCTCCCCCACTGCACAAGGGGGCGAACCAGAGAGGCAGTGACTACAGGCCAGCTCTGAGAGAGCTGCGCAGAAGGAAAGCCAAGCCAGAGGCTACACGCTGCATGGTGCCATTCGAGAATCACTGCTGACCAAGAGCAAGCAGGGATGCTGGAGGGCCCCAGGGAAGGGGGACGCACAGGGGAGGTGGTGTGGCAGGAGAAGAGACGTGGGCAACCTCAAGGCACTTACTGGCCTACCTGGGCAAGAGAAGGGCAGGGGAGGCTGGAGTAGCCCATCCTTTCCCTAGGCCTCTCTGCAGAGCAGGACTAACCTCCATTCCCCAAAGACAGAAGCAGAGCAGAAGGAATGGGTGGGGCTGGGGCTGGGGCTCAGGGGTGGGGCTCAGGGGTAGAGCACCTGCCTGGCACATACCGATGAATACAATAAAAATACTGTGTCTGCACACAACTAAAAAAAAAATAATAATAATATTTTTTTTTAAAAAGAAAGAAATGGGTGAGCCTGAGTCCTGGGTAAAAGGAGGCCTTGGGGACAAGGGGTGTAGCCCCAAGAGACTCAACAGAGAGCAGCGATGGAGGAGCCCACCTCACTGCATCCAGGGAGGACTCGGTCTGACAGGATGGACCGGCCCTGCAGTCCTCTGTCACGACAGACACATTGCCCTCCCTGCCAGAGCCTCCGGGACTGGGTGAGGCCTCTGAAGTGCACCACACCCAGGCCAAGGCCAGGGATGTGGGGTCCTAAGCATCCAGCACAGGGAGGTGCTTGGGGTGGGCTGGGCTGGACAAGTGGCATGGGCGCTGATGTCTGGGACTTCTAACTGCATTCAGATTATTTTAAATTTTAGTTTTAAAACTTATATCCAATTCTGTTACGAGAAAACTTGTGTTTTTTCTGCAATGCCAAGGATTGAACACAGGGCACCCTACCAACTAAGCCATTTTTGCACGGAGGGGTACTGGGGATTAAACTCAAGGAACTCCCAGCTACATCCCCGGCCATTTTTAATTTCAGAGAAGGTTTTTCTAGGTTGCTGAGGCTGGGCTTAAACCTGCAGCCACCCATCCTCAGCCTCCCGAGGTGCTGGGATCACAGAGGTGCACCAACACACCTAGCTCTGAGTATGTTTAGGCAGCCTGGATGTGTGAACCTTCTTTTTCAAGTGTAAGTTTTATGAAATCTAAATACCACCATCAACTATTTCTGTAACAAATATTTGGTTTTTGAGTTTTTAGTTTTGTTTTTTTTTTTTACAGTGAGACTTTTAGTGCCTAAGTTGAATTTGCTGTAGAATAAAATATACAAATTTCTCAAAAGATTTGGCTTTTAAAGAATAAGTTTTTGCCAGGTGTGGTGGAACACACCTGTCAACCCAGCACCTCAAGAGGCTAAGGCAGGAGGATGGAAGGTTCAAGGCCAGCCTCAGCAACTTAGTGAGGCCCTGGTTGAAAATAAAAAGGGCTGGGGTCTAGGGCAAGGGTACAGCACCCTATGTTCAATCTCCAGAACCAAACCAAACAAAAAACACCGTGTCTTCAGCGATGCCCTCAAGTGAGTGCAAAGTCAGCACCCTGGGCAGACGAAGCTCCACGACTGCCAGCAAGGGCCAGTACCCAGAACCCAAGAGGACATGCATGAGTGACAGCCAACAGAGGAACAGCATGACCACTGGGGGACCCAGCTCAGAGGACGAGGAGCCCCACAGCGAGGCGCCACCCACATTCATGAGGGCGGCTGTGCTCTCCCTGACAGCGACAGTTCTCTCAAGACGGGACGTGGCAGCTGCTGTGGGAGCACCTGGCGGGTCCTCGGGAAACTCCTCCAGCACACAAGGAACGCTCCCACGACGCCCGCAGGCCAGGCCCACACCACAGGGGACCAGCCACAGTGGGCCAGCCCACGTCCACCCAGAGAGGAACAACACACTGGGTCTGTCTAGCACGGGCCCAGCCACGTGCCAGCCGGGATGGGGTGACAGGATGGAGACCCCCCAGGCAGGCCACCTGCACAGTGCCAACTCCAGGCTGGACGCTCAATCTAACCAGGGCAGTGGGTGTCCTCAGGGTGACATACAAAGTCCACTTACCTCATAGGTAGAAAACTACTCTGCCTACACCAGGTTCAGACCAGACAAAACCCACAGTGATGAAATCAAGAGGTTCCCTCAGAGCACCTGACCAGGCCACATGTGCTGACCACCTGGACGCAGACGTGCACAGGCCCCGACAACGCCAACAGGCCTGGGCCTGGATGCACACGGCGCCTCTGCTGCCCAGCCCACCAGGCCCCTCAGCTCTCAGCCTGGGAGGCCTCCACGTCCCAGTGCAGCCACCTCTGGGACACCACATATGGGCAGCACTCTGCCCTTGGCGCTGGAGCCAACTCACCGGGCCAGCTTCACAGGCCTTGTGGGTAAGGTCATCCAGGCTCTGGTTCTGCAGCTTCTCGGTGATGAGCGTGACCATGGTCAGCGCCCTCCCTCCGCCCACCACGGAGTGCTGCAGTTCTGAGACATCGGACCTCGGGAGGCCCAGGCCACAGCTGGGTTGTGCTGAACCTCAGGTTATGTCTCTGCTTGGCAGACACAACAGCCCATCTCCCCAGGCTCTTCAGAGCTGTGCCTGCAAAGAGAAACGGCCACGTGACCAGAGTGGAACCACGGTGCTGAGGCTTCTCTCGTACACTCCTAACATCCCGCCCGACAAACACCTTCCTGCCTTCAAAACCACCTGGAACCTCCAGGAACAGGCTCTTCTGGGGAAGGATGAAGGGTCAGAGGCACACACAGCACCAGCCCCACTGAAACCCTTTCCTACAGCTGCAGGAAAGGCCACCCAACCTGCTCCAAGGAAGGAGGGAAGAACAGCAGCAGTGGGAGCCAGGTTTCCAGGTGGCCAGCAGGGTTCCACACCAGGTCTGCCTCCCCAGCCCTGGCCCCTGAAGCGTGGGTCCCTCTGGGGAGAACAGTATAGCACACCAGTCCTAAAAGAAGGAGGTTTGCAAGTCCTGAGCTCTCTGGCCCTGGGGTGGCCAGCTCCCCCACAGGGTAAGATGTCCCCATGCAGCAAGAGGTCCAGCGTGCCCCCAGGACACCACTCACACAAGGCTTTAGACTGCTCTGGGCCCAGTGGTGAGTGGGAGCTGCCACTACAGGCCATCAGCCAAGGAAGCAAGAGGCCACAAAGATGGCGGGAAGCAAAGTGGCAAACCCGGTGACAGCACCCTCTGAAAGGACAAAGAGAACAAAAGAGGCCTTGGAAGCTGAAGAGCACTGGACCCCACAGGCCTCCTGAGCACACGTCCCCAAGTGCCATAGGACAGGACAGGGCAGCTACACACTGGAGCACCTGCGAGCGCTAGCCCCACTTCCAGCCAGCCAGCTTGCCCAAGGTGAGTGTCCACCCCAACTCAGCAGGTGCGGCCAGCTGGCCCACAGTGTGGCGCCACTGCCACAGCAAGCAGGGCCACACTGGAGAGCAGGAACACCTGACCTCAGCCATGCACGGAGAGACCAGGAAAGCCCAGGAGAACCCCCGTACCTCCAAGACGCTGCCAAGACTTAGCACTCACTTCCCACACTTAGGAAACACACCCTCTAAACAGAATCCACCAACACTTCCTCTGCGTGACTTTGTTTTTTTGTTTTTTTTTTTAAAGAGAGAGTGAGAGAGAGAGGGGGACAGAGAGAGAGAGAAAGAGAATTTTAACATTTATTTATTTTTTCTTAGTTCTCGGCGGACACAACATCTTTGTTTGTATGTGGTGCTGAAGATCAAACCCGGGCCGCACGCATGCTAGGCGAGCGCGCTACCGCTTGAGCCATATCCCCAGGCCCACTCTGCGTGACTTTGAAACTGAGGCCCAAAGCTGGCATCTGCCTGGATGGGGCAGTCAGGGCCCTCCATAAGCAGGAAGCAGGGCCAAGTGTAACCATCAACACTGCACCTGAGACCCAGCAGGTGCCACAGGCCTGACCTGGGGACCAGGAGGCCTGGCCCAGACAGGACTGAGTCCTCCCCACACACAGGGGCTACTCCAGGTGGGGGTACCCAAGCAGCTGGAATGCTGCTCCCATATAGCTCGTCTGCTTTGGGATCACACCCCTGTTCCTTCAGCACCTGGTGTGCCTGGCACTGACAGCCCCCGCCGACCTGGGCAGAGCTCTGGCCTACACAGGGAATGTGAGCCAAGACAGGTCCAGCGGGTCTGTGTTTTTCAAACAAGGAGGTTGAATCAGCGCCAGGCTTGCTGTGGGACCAGCACTGGTCTGGCTGCCCAGCCTCGCTGCACAAGAGCTCACCTCAGCCCCAACTTCTGAGTCACACCCTCATAGGACAGGGCTTTGTAGGGTCCACCCTCAGCTAGATGGGTGACAAGCAGGACACTCCTTAATTGTACCAATCCCAACATCCACCAGTTCTCTTTCCCTCAGCCCAGGTGCCACCATCTGCTGAAACCATCTCCTCCTGCTGAAACCTCCTGGGTAGACAAAAACACACACGTCAACCCCAAAAGGCCACAGTAGCACAATTCAACTTGAAAAAAAATCATAACATAATGAGTAGTTATTTTTAAAAACAGCCACAACCAGTGGTAGCTATGCCTGTAATCTCAGAAACTCAGGAGACAGGAGGATCCCAAGTTCAAGGCCAGCCTGGGCAACTTAGTGAGACCCTGTCTCAAAATAAAAATAAGAAGGGCTGGAGATGTAGCTCAGTGGTAGAGCCCCTGTCTACCATGGTTCCCAGTTCAAGGAGAGAGGAAGCAACAGACTCCATGGTCCTGGAGCACTGGAGGAGCAGGTGAAGCTGGGCTGATGCAGGTTTGGGGGCAGCTGGCAGATGGGACAGGAGTGGGTCTGTTTCAGACGGAAAGTCTGAAACCCCATAAACTCACCCTCTGACACACATACCAACACGGGTTTCAGGCAAGAGCCATCAGTGGAGGGCTGGAGTGCAGCTCAGGGGTAGCCTGCCCGCTGGGCATGTGCGGGGCCCGGTTCGATCCCAGCACTGCAAAACAGAAAGAAAGGGACCATCACCAGCTGAGTGCTAAACTCCACAGGGACGGTGTGAAAGGATCTGAACTGACACTGTGTGCAACCACCTCCCCACCAGACATTCATCAGTTACAAAGGAAAATAACCCACAGGGGACCTCCTAAGCCACAGGATCAAATGACCACAACAAGAGGCAGGACACATGGACACGGTGCCTTCTGAGGGGACCCTGGGGAGGACACGGCCCACAGCAGGGCTCCTACTGAAGATACAGAACCTCAGTCTAATCAGACACACCCAGAAGGCAAACTGCAAACAACTGGCCAGCACCATCAGAAGTGTCACGGAGGCCAGAGCAAGGCCAGTAAGGCCAGGAGGGCACCCAACACAACACCGACCATTGCTGAGGCCTCCCAGCACAGCAGGAGGAGGACAACTGAGGAGGAGACTGGGAGACTGACTTGGCCCCGCTGGACGGCAGTCCTGCACCCCTCAGCATCACTTTCCTGATGGAGGTCAGACTCTGCCCTGTAGCAGTGGCAGATGTGGACCTGCGGAAGGTCTCCACACCCCTCAACAAGGACATCCTGTCAACACTGTGAGCTCAGGAGGGGCCTGCACTGCTCGGCAGGGCAGAATGGGGGAGGGCCGTGGTGGTGGACCCCTGCCAGTAGAGGAGAAAGCAGCTCCGCACACCCTTCCCACCTGGAAGCCCAGCAGGGGCTGTCAGTGGCCAGACCCCAGCACAGCAGGAAGATGCCAACTGAGAAGACTGGGTGTTTCCAGGGCTGCCACCACAAAGCACCACACTGAGGGGCTTCCACAAGCCAGAGTCAAAGAGCCCTCCTTGGAGGTACAGAGGAACAGCTGGGCCCTGCAGCTCCGGGACCAGTGGCTCAGAGGGAGCCTTGAGCTTCTTGGAAGCATCAATATCTCTGCCTCTCCATAGGTCCTCACCTAACAGGTGAGCAGCTTCTCCCAAGGCTCTGCAGCTTCAGAGGACTGGACGATCCTAATCCAGTGAGGCCTCCTCTTAACCTATCTAGGTCACATCTGCAAAGACCCAACTTCAAAGTAGGGTCACATTCAGAGATGTGAGGGAGGTGTCAGGACTTGAATACAGCTGGGAGGCACTGTTCAACCCACAGTGCCAGGCCCCTCTGCCCTCTAAGAAACTGACCGTGATGCCAGGACACAGCCACTAGGCTACAGCATGCCCATCCTCCAGGTAGGCTCCGCCCCTCCACAGGAGCCTAGGTGGGGTTCTGAGATGAAGCTGGTCAGGATCAGAGGAAGCACAAGTCTAGGCAGGAAAGGCCAGAGAAGCACAAAACAATGAAATGGCAGTAAGGAGGAAACCAACCAGCCACCGTCAGGAAAGAGGTGGCAGAGAGGAGGGCACTGGCCTTCACCAGGGAAGAGGTGGCAGAGAGGAGGGCCACTGGCCTCCATCAGAGGCAAGCAGCAGCCTGTTACGGGCAACCTAAGAAGCCCCGTGGAAGATGACATGAAGTTGAGACTGAAAGCTGAGCCAGCGGCCCCAAGAGGGAGACAGAGGCTGGCCCTGGCAGGAAGATCCCCCAGATGCAGAGGTGGATGTACAGCAGCGGAGGCAAAGTGGGATACCTGGCTCAGGTGACAGAACTGGCCAGCCCTGCCCACAGGAGGGTGGGACATGGCCACGCATAGTGCTCTGGAACTGGGAAAGGACACTAGCCAGACACCTCAGGAGGGACAGTGGGCCCCATGGTCTGCCCATCCCAGGGACCAATGCCCACTGGAGCCCATTCCCACTCCAACTTTCACCAAGCCAGCTCCCAACACCTCTGCCCTCCTTGCACAGGAGCCAGTGTCAGCTGACCCCTTGGCCCTGCCCCTTCCCTGCTACTCTTTCCCACTCTACCCTGGAGCATGCTGGGCCAAGCTGGTCCTCAGGCCCCTGCACCAACGCCAGTGAAAGGGGCCTCCCACGTTCTGCCCCCAGAGCCACCCTCCCGGGTCTCTCCAGGACAAAGGACAAAACCCTGGCCCTGGCCCCAAGCCCTTGGCTCTTCCCTACCTTTCTTCTTCTGTCACCCTACATTGTGGCTGCACAGCCCCCATCCTCTGCCCAAGCATCATAGGCGGGGCAGGGGCTCCACAGGGGCAATGACAAGGGCTCCCAACTCGGCACCGACCCAGATGCTCACCCTCTACCTAGACAGAGACAGAACTCCCGTGGGGCTCTGTACTCACTTCCTGGGGACTCACCCTCCACATCAGCATCAAAGTGGGTTCTTTTTTTTTTTAATCTTCATTCAGGTCTACTAGATGGAGTCAGAGCATTGGCCAAGCCATGAGTCAGTATCCTGTGGCTGTCCTAAACAAGCCCCACAAAATGCACAGCTCTAATGGCCCTTCAGTGGCCCTGGGGCATGTTCAAGGGCCTCTCCCTAATAGCAGCCTCATTCCCACCCCCACCATGCATCCCATCTGTGTCCACCAGTTCTTTGGGATTAGGGCCACCCCACTCCAGCACCCTGCTTCCAAATAAGGTCACATTCCGAGGTCCCGTGGATGAGGACTTCATGTGGATTTGGGTGAGATACCATCCAAGTCCATATCCTCTCCTCACAGCAGACACCCCAGAGGGTGCTCTCAGCCCCTGGGAGGTGTGCTTCCCTTCTTGCCCCACTTCCTCCCCCTCCCTGGGACCAGTGACTGATACTGACCAACTCACCTTGACATGGACACAGCCTACACCAGCTCCTGCACCACACCTCCCAGGGGCTCAGTGAGTCTTCTTCCACGTTACCCCCATGCAGAGCATGCTCAGTCAGCTGCCCAGCAGGCTGTCCCCTAATTAAAAATTCCCTCCTTTTTGTGGTGGGGGGAATATGGAGATTGAACTCAGGGGCACTGGACCACTGAGCCACATCCCCAACCCAATTTTGTATTTCATTTAGAGACAGGGTCTTACTGAGTTGCTTAGCGCCTCACTTTTGCTGATGCTGGCTTTGAACTTTTGCAATCCTCCTGCCTTAGCCTCCTGAGCCACTGGGATTACAGGTGAGCACCACTGCGCCCAGCCCTCCTTTTCTCATTTGCAAAGTTTCTGCCTAATACAGTTATTCCCCCAAACTCCCCAACAGAATTATAAAGCTCCTAGGAACAAGTTTGGTTGAATAAAAGACATCAAGAGGGCTGGGGCGGTAGCTCAGTGTGCAGCACTTGCCTAGCATGTATGAGGCACTGGGTTTGATCCTTAGCACCACATAAAAATAAATAAAGGTCTTAACGCCCATCTACAACTAAAATATTAAAGAAAGAAAGAAATAAGGAATAAAAGACATCAGGACCCTGCAGCCTTGAGCTTAGACCATAGGGTAGTGTCCTCCTACCTCTGGCCTGGCCCCGTATCTTGCAGCTTCCTGGGAAGAGGTGCCCATGAAGCCCCTGACTCTGCTCTCTTCCCACAGAGGCAGGAAGCCCACCCCTCCAACATCTTCTAGCTCTCAGGGTCTTCTCTCCCCAGTGTTGGAAAACAGAACAACCTTGCAGATCTCAGGCGTGCTGGCTGCTGACCATGCCTCAACCCTCTCCAGTGCTGTCTCTGGAAAGCTCCTGGATGTCCTCTCCAGACCGCTGGCCTCTCCTCCGGACCTCACCCCCTTTGCGGTGCCGCTGACCTGCCCGCAAGGCCTACCCTCAGCTCCAGCTCCCAGCTCTGTGTGGCACGGGCCTCCACCGGGCCCGCTGAACCTCCAAGGCCCCTCGGAACGGTCCACCTTTCAGCCTGCTCTCTCCCAGAGCCATCTGCCGTTCCTTCTGGTCCTGCACTGGTCACCTCAGTCCTGTTTCCAGGCTGGACTTCCACCAACGTTTGTCACCCTACTCGTCACTGACGCCGAGGAGAGCCACATGGCTGCCTCAGGCAGAGGAGCCCACGGGCACGACCCCTGGCACTCAGAGGGTACTCAGAGAGCTCAGCAAGGATCTCACTGGACTGACACGGGCAGCACGAGCCCAGGAGGCACTAGGCCAGGAGAAATGCAGCTGGTTCCGGGCAGACACCAGACCCGGCAGCAAGGGTGCTGCCAGGGAGGCTCCCCCTGACCTACCAGGGTGAGACCCTGAGCAAGGGCCGCCCTGAGGAGCTGCTCCAGAACCTCAGATCCCAGAACCACACGCAAGAATAAGTGACTGTTACTGTCCCAAGCCACCAGTTTTGGAGGCAATTTATTATGCTGCCAGGTAACTAAAACAGTGACGCTTACTCCAGAGAAAAGAGCCAAATGCCACCTCGCTGCTAGACTGATTAGTCACCACACTGGCACCAGGACTGGGGAGAAGGTACCAGTGGTGTCCCTCTCTCAGCACGGCCAAGCAAGTGAACCTCCCACGGCCACTGAAATCATCAACTGTTGCTGTTTGGTGGCTGCTGACCAGCTCAGAGCTGTCTCTTCTTTGAAGAGAGCGTATGCAGATACCATGCTCTGGGTCCTGGGAAGCCCGGGACACATTCTTATTCTGATGCCACAGAGCTAGTGCTACTAATAAGCTGCACAAGAACTCGGAATTCTTTCTGGAAAGCCCTTTCAAAACAGGACAGAACAAAACGAGAAAGGGAATAAAATGCACCTGTCCTAACCAATCAATCTCTTGGTTTTTGGAGCCAGGGATTGAATCCAGAAGCGTCTAACCACTGAGCCACATCCCCAGGCCTTTTGAGACAGGGTCTCACTAAATTGCTTAGGGCCTCACTAAGTTGCTAAGGGTGGCTTTGAATTCATGATCCTCCTGCCTCAGCCTCCTGAGCTGCTGGGATCACAGGTGTCTGCCACCACACCCAATTCTCTCAATATCTTGCTAATAGTAAAACCCACAACTATTTGTTTGGAAGTAGGATCTTAGTTTAAAAGTACTTGGGAAGGGCTGGGCATGTAGCTTAGTTGTAGAGCACCTGCCTAACATGTGCAAGGCCCTGGGTTCCATCGCAGGTACCACAAAAAAATAATATCATTATTACAGAGCAAAAAGTGCATGAGAATTAGAGTCAGTTGGTGTAACCCAACAAATCAACAGACTAACATAGAAAACTCATGTCATCACATCAGTAGATACTGGAGAAAGCATCTGACAAACTCCACCAGCATCCATTCATGATAAAAACTCAGAGGCGGACGCGGTGGCACATGCCTGTAATCCCAGCAGCTCAGGAGACTGAGGCAGGAGTATCCCAAGTTCAAAGCCAGCCTCAGCAACATCGAGGCGCTAAGCAACTCGTGAGACCGCTTTAAATAAAATACAAAATAGGGCTGGGGATGTGGCTCAGTGGTCAAGTGCCCCTGAGTACCTGGTACCAAAAAACTCAGTAGATACAAAGAAAGGGTACAACTTGAACATGTCCCCTCCAAACCTCAGGCCTTGCCAAGGTAACAATTCTAAGAGCGGGGCAGTAGCAGGTGACGGGCCACAAGGGTACCTCCCATCCTTACAAACCACCTAGTGTGACATGAAGCGACACGACGTGTAAAATGTGCTCCTGGCCCCGGCTCTGACTGAGTTAGTGCTGGGTACCACCAGCCTCAGGAGCAGGCTCAGGCCTCAGAGAGCAGTCCTGTTTCCGGCCTTCTCCCGCCTTCTCTTCCCGTAATTTCTTTTACCTAGGGCAGGTCACAGAAATCTCATCTTAAGTTCTCATCAAACACCACCTGTCTGACAAGACCCCCATGAGAAGTGTCCTGCCCCTGCCCTCCAGGAAGGCATGCCCAAGAATCTGGTCAGAGGCCAGTGCTGGACTTGCCCACCCAGTCTGTCAGCCTATGTGTCCAATCACACCATGCTGGGTCACACCATGCAAGGACAATGACTCCATAAACACTCTGAAGGACAGGGCCCAGGAAGTTTCTGAATAGGGAACCCTCACAGGAGGGTGAACAGAAGTCACCTGTGTGCTGGGAGGGTGGCAACCCAGCTCCAGAGCCCTGCCCCCTGCACTGAGGACCCCTCTAGGCTTTGCCCTCTGCACCTCTCCACCTCGCTGCTCATTTGTATTCTTTAAAACACTCTCTCTGTGTAGGTGCAATGATGCACGCACGGTGACCTGGGGGGCTGAGGCAGGAGAATCTCAAGTTCCAGGCTAGCCTCAGCAACCTAGCGAGGCCCTGTCTCAAAATAAAAAGTAAAAGGGCTGGGGATGTGGCTCAAAACATATATATATATCTCCTCCACATTAAACTGGCAAATGTGTGTATGGTACTCCTGAGTTCTGGTTAATCAAACCGGAGGAGGGGGCTGTGGGAAGGTCAATTTACAGCTGGTCAGTCAGAAGTTCCAGAGGCCCAGAACTGCAGCTGGGGCGAAATGGGTGTAGTCTGGGGACCTGATGTGTCTCCAGTCAGGTGGTGTCAGAGCTGACCTGACCCTGCTGCTTCTTCTGCAGACTGATGGCTCACTTGCTGGTGGGGAGTAAGCTCCCACCTCCAGACGCCAGAGAAAGCTTCAATGTTGGATGTCATGGTAGGAGAGCGAGAAGCTTGCTTCTCTAAAACCCACCCACCGCCAGGTATTCTAACAAAAATGGACTAAAAAGAGAACTTTCTCAACTTGATGAAGACCATCTATAAAAACCGACAGCAGCACATGCATTAGCAAGAAACACGAAGCTCCCCCACTCAAACCAGGAATGAGGCAAGGATACCCCTCACTGCTGCTTCTCAAGAGCACCCTCCAGAGCCCAGCTGATGCAGTGGGAGAGGAAGGGACAAAAGGTCCACAGCCTGGGGAGCAAGAAACAGAACTATGCTGTTCTCAGCAGGAGACGGAGGAAGAATCGTTCTGCAGCAGATCTGAAGGGCCTGACGACTACCTCTGGAACACTGAGCCGACGAGATAAGACTGCAGCAGTCAGCACACACGCGTCACCACGTTCCTCTATACCAGCAATGAACAAGTGGAACCTGAAATTAAAAACACACCACCATTTACATTTGCACCCAAAAAAATGACTAAGGAACAAATCTAACAAAATATGTACAATCTCTATACCAAGGAAACCACAAAACTGATGAAAGAAATCAAACCCTAAATACATGGAAGAACCCTCATCTGTGCAGAGGAAAGGATCAACACTCAAAGCACCATCTCCTCCCAACTAGACATTCAGTACAGTCCCAAACTTCTTACCCACGAAGTCATCATACCAGATGCCAAAGACTGCATGGCTTGTCAACAGCAGAGATGCGTTACTCACCATTCCGGCAGGTTTGGTGATTAGTGAGGGCCTACTTTCTGGTTCACAGGTGACCATGTGTCCACACATGATACAAGGGCAAGGGAGAACCATAATCTCTTTTCTAAGGACATTAATCCCATTCCAGAGAGATCTGCCCTCACAATCTAAGAACTTCCCAGACTCCACCTCCAAATACCATTGCATCATGGAGTAGCTTTCAGCACAGGACTTTTGAGTGGACATAACAGCCTGTTTCTCTCATCAGTGGAAGCTGGAGCAAAATAAGGGAAAGGAAATGGGAATGAACTATCATAAAAATAGGGGAAGGATCACAGGAGTAGGAGATGGAGGGAGAAGGGACAGGAAAGGCAAGAAAATGTGGAACAAATTTAACAAAATCATGTCATATGCATGTATAAATATACCACAAGTAGTTTCACCTTTATGTATATATAGACAGTACCAATCAAAAATAAATAGCCAGGCACAGTGGCGCATGCCTGTAATTCCAGCAGCTCAGGAGGCTGAGGCAGTAGGAACACAAGTTCAAAGCCAGCCCCAGTAACTTATCCAGGCCCTGTCTCAAAGTGAAAAATACAAAGGCTAGGAGGTTAGCTCAGTGATAGAGCACCACTGGTTCAATCCCCAGTATAAAGGGAAAAAAAGAAAAAAACACACAAACCTGAGGTACCACTGCACACCTATTAGAATGGCCAAAATCCAGAACTTGGACACTAAATCCTGAGGAGGACGGGGAGCAACGGCACTCTTTTTCACTACTGGTGGGATAAGAGATGGCACAGCCACTGTGTATGACCATTTGGCAGCTTCAACACTCCTCATTCCACAACTAGCAGTCATGTTCCTTTGGCATTTAATCAAAGGAAGCAGAAACTTCTGTCCACAACAATCTTACCCAGGTGCCTACAGCAGTTTCATTCCCATCACCAAACCTGGACACATCCAAGGTGCCCTTCAGCACTCCAGTGGATAAATAAACTGGCACATCTGGACAAGGGGTGCCGTGCAAGGCTGAGAAGAAATGAGCTACCAGGAGACACAAGGAGCCATGGAAGAAACTGAAACACAGTGAAAGCAGCGCAGCCAATCTGAAAAGGCCCTGCGCTGGGACTCGAGCTAAGACAGTGCCACCAATGTGGCAGAGCGAGGAATGAACAGGCATGGCACAGGGGGTCTTCAGTAGTGACACTACTCATCACACACTTGTCAAGCCCACAAAACAGTAACACCAAGAGTGGACCCCAGTGTTAGCTCTGGACTCGGCTGACGATGTACTACAGTAGCTTCAAGTGGAACCAATATGCCACTCTGGTGGGATGCTGGCTGTGTAGGATAGGAGAAGGGGTAGATGGGAACTCCCTTGCCCTCTGATTCAATTTTGCTGTGAACCTAAAGCTGCTGCTCTGAGAAATAAAGCATATTTTTTTAAATGTAGAGAAACCAAGCTTGAAGTGCTACCTTTGAGACACAACAAGACACTTGAATGGAGTCCTCCTCTCTGCTGGTCCCCACACACTGTACGTCACACAGAAGGAAATAGCTCCCAGGCACTTCACTCTGACAAAGGGGCACAAGGCAAGCTCTAGCTAGACAGATGGGTGGGAGAGCAGGTGGCCCCAGCTGGCCGGTACCCCCTGGGCTCCTTGAGCAATGACTTCTCCTTTCTGACCCTAAGTTTCCTAGAACTGAAATTAAGAAGAGCTTGCCTAGCACACACCTGGAATCCCAGTGGCGTGAAGGTAAAGGCAGGAGGATCCTATTTCAAAGCCAGCCACAGCAACTTCCCAAGACCCTGACCCAAAATAAAAAATAAAAAGGGCTGAGGATGTGGCTCCGTAGGTAAGTGCCCTGGGTTCAACTCCTAGGACCCAAAAAAGGACAACCCATGAGACCTCAAGGAATCAAATTAACTAATGTTTGAAAGCACCCAAGTGCCAAAGACGAGGTTTAAACTATGACCTATGCTTACAGCAAATGCTTAGAAAATTTTTATCCAATTTTCCTTTGGTAAATATCATTGCAGAAAATGCTAAAAAGGTTTACATAAAAATTTTTAATTTGCCTTTTAATATATATATTTTTAGTTGCTGACAGACCTGTATTTTACTTATTTATATGCAGTACTGAGAATCGAACCCAGTGCCTCACACATGCCAGGAAAGTGCACTACTGCTGAGCCACAGCCCCAGCACCCCCTTAATTTGCTTTAAAATAAAAAAAATGTTTTCAGGATTTCTAGTACACCAGTGAAAAGTACCCAAGGGTTTTCCTGGTTCTTCTCTCTACCAGTTAAATCATATTTTCTCAAAAAGGAACGTCCTCATACTACTGTTCCCTATGCACACAGTGATATGAGCAAGCATCTCCACAACCAGAAAGCTACTGGTGCATCTACTTTAAAACAATGACTGCCTTAGCATTTCATCTCACATACTTTGAGCAGCAACAAAAACTGCTCTCACTGTGGCCCCTAAATCTAACGTAAGTCAAAAAATTAGGATTCATACAAAAGTGGCAGAACGGTTACAAAGGAAGTTTCTGGGTTTTTTTTTGTTTTTTTTGCAGTGTGCAAATGAAACCTGGGCCTTGCGCATGCAAAGCAGGCACCCACCACTGCTCCACATACAGCCCCCCACCATGGCATCTGGTCCTCAGAGTGGAACCACAACTGTGCTAGAAACCCCAGATACAAGCTGCAAGTTCACAGGACAGGGAGAGGAACCATCGATCAAGCAATGGAAAGCGATGGAGATCTCCTGTGCCCAGCATACACCGAGGAATCGGGAGAGGGACAAGGCTCCAGAGCTAGGGGAGGAGAACTGTCTGAAAGAATTACCACCAAGAACTCCTGGACTGGCTAACCCAATATCAGGAAAAGCCACTATTTCTGAACAATTTCCATTTGGAATTTGAAGTAATAGTTTCAAATCAAAACAAAACTGTTCCCTGGCCTTCTACCTTCAGAGCAAGAGGCCAGACTTTCCCTCTTGGACTGATTTTCCTTGGGGACAAGGTGACTGTGAAAGGACAGCACAGCAATCGCACCAGCAATGCTCCTGAATGGTGTGCAACAGCAGCAGGTCCTGAAGTCAAAGCAGCCCCAGCTAAAGACTTTCTCAGAGCTGAGAGCTCATTATAAATTCAATTAAGCCATGAATCTAGTTTGAGTTAAATAAATAAATATGTGGAGCACTTGTTGCAAGTGAAATGCCTTGGGTTTCGTCCCCAGAACCACGGGGGAAAAAAATAGAAAACAGAGGGAAAAAAATTAACATAAAGTTACAAGGGAAGCTTAGATTCAAAGAGGTACCCTGTTATGAAATACAAAAGTCAAGAGTCAATTGAGGGGCTGGCTGGGGTTGTGGCCATACAATGATGGTAAGTGTGAGGCACTGGGTTTATCTTCAACACCATGTAAAATGAACAAACAACAAAATAAGAGTATTGTGTCCATCTACAAAAAAAAAAGAGTCAACTGAGCACAAGCCTGAGGCTGAGGCAGGAGGATCATAAGTTTGAGGCCAGCCTCAGCAACTGAGTGATACCCTGTCTCAAAATAAACAATAAAAAGGTCTGGGGTACCCCTCAGTGGTGAAGCACCCTGGGTTCAATCCCCAGTACAGAGAAGAGTCAATGTCACACAGATGGAGAGATGAAACCTCAGATTTGTGACTGTAATCAGATCAGGCAAAATGAAATAAATGCATGCTGCAGAGTCAGTCAGGAGACGCCATCTCACCTAGTGCTCCCTTCTCCACTCAGAGAAGTCCTAAAGCCACTTACTGGGACCGCAGCCTACACAGGAAAAGCGGCTCCGGATTCCACCTGAGTCACCTTGTGCAGGTCGCTGGGGATGGTCCCCACCTCGTCTGGGTCCACCTTTGGGGATTCCTTAATGTGCTGCGTTATCTCCTCAAATGCCCTCCTTCTCCTGGGTTATGGGACCGACAAACACATGGGCCCCAGAAAAGGCAGTGGCCCACCCAGCTCTGCAAGGCGACAGCAAAGTTGATTCAACAAGTGGAGCGCGCCTCTTGCAGTGTGCATGGGTGCCTGGGGCGGCAGGAGGGATCCGGGGGTCCCGGGTCGCGCCTAGACTGGTCGGAAGGGGTCGCCGGGTGCCGGGGAGTTTTAAAGTACTGGGGACCCCGGGGAGCGCGGGGATCCGAGGGTGCACAGGGTCCCAAGGCGAGAGGAGCGAAAGCCGGCGGGGGAAGGGTCCGAGAGCGCGGGGGCCTGCGCCGGTGGAAGGAGGCCGCCGGGTGCACGAGGAGTTTTGGGGTGCTGGGGACCCCGGGGCGCGCGGGGCTCCGAGGGCGCACAAAGGTCCCAGGCGCGCGGGGGCCTGGGCTAATGGAAGGGGGTCCCGGGCGCACAGCGGTAGAGTGCCGGGTGCACGCGGGTCCCGGTGAGCGGCGGCGAGGGCACG